ACTAATAACAAATCCATATGATTTTTAGAAAGTACTAAACCTTCAAACATATACGTGTCAAAATTTTAGCTCAATCGGACCTTTACTTTACAAATTACAATGGTTTAAGTGTATTAAATCATAATATATTAAATATATTAAAATCATATGGATTTGTTATTAGTGCGCCATCTATTATGTCAGACCCGGAGTGATGTGTTATATATATATATACTTGCATAACTTTAAGAGCTCTCTGTTAATACTAACAATGTTATACTGGTGCATTTATTTTCAAGCAGTTAATATGCAGTTAGTGAACTCGCAAGATATTAGATACTATTCTCGAGAAAAAGCTTGAAAAACCCGTTTTCTCATGTATTGTTAGAAAAACAAACAATACCGAAAGTAAAAAATACTCCTCTGCAATGCATTAATATCAATACAAAGACAATTGGGAAAATTATTTGTAGAATGGATACACGCTAGATGGAAAACAAGGACAGTAATAAGTGTAATAACTTTTAGCAACATTAATGATACATAAATTTGCAAAGTTTCGAGAATATTATGAATATTTCAGCAATCCTTAAAAAAAAAATAATTTCTATCTTACAAATCGTAAAACATAATACGAAATATCAATCGATCAAGTAATTCACCTTAAAAATCTATTTATCTTCACAAAATTAATTATATCCGCATTCTAATTGTACACACTGAATTGTATTATATTGTGCATGCTAGATATATGTATATTGTAATTTTCAATTAGTTGAACTTAAGTATGCTTTGTTATATTTTTTGTTTCTTAATCGATGTATCGTTAAAATGTGACGTATTACAGTTTCACATTTTCTCTACTATAGATTTGTAAAATAACAAGAATACAGGACACATCGCGAACAGATCGAATCATAAACGTACTTATGCGTGACAAGAGTTATTAGTATATATTTATTCAAATTGTGCATGTTTAATAAATGCCTACCGTTTTACTTTGTTACGAGCATTTTATTTATTGTCACGACTACTGAATTTTTCATATATTGTTTTGTGCGCTTATTTCGATGTGTATCTATAGTGACGCTATATATAACGCGTGCCTGTATATTATACTCAATACGATGTACTAATTAGATTGTGTACAAAGTTATACTTTAATAAACTGAATATCTTGAGAAAAAGAAAGAAGACATATGTATGTTTTTTCTAGGTAATCGGTATTTACAATATTCCCGACGACGACGATTACTTCATGGGAATTAGAGGCAATCAACGAGGAAAGGTGCCCAAAGTATATTTGGAAACGCTTATTATACATCATTAATGCACTTAGAAGCTATCGTCTATTGTCAATTGCATTTATAGTCAATTTAGCGCACTGCTCTCTCGTTAAGAGATTTTATTTTTAGCTTCAATTAGTCGAAATAATGGTTATCCTACTTGGCTTGAAAAGTGATTCATTACTTCAAGACCAAGAGATTTAATTCCAATTTAATTAAATAAATCACTATTCTATGACTAAAAAGCATACAATAGGATGGAATTATTCTTATATTCAATATTGTGCCTCTTGACCGTTACGGTTTTTCTTTCCACAATTGATCAAGTAGTCGAATAAAAACATTTACCGTTTAAAGATTTATTATTAATAGTACACATAATATATGTATAAAAGTTTACTTCTTTTTCGACACACCGACCGTGCGTCCACGACGACCGGTAGTCTTGGTGTGCTGACCACGTACACGGAGACCCCAGTAGTGACGCAGTCCCCTGTGAGCACGGATCTTCTTCATCCTTTCCAAGTCCTCACGGAGCTTAGAGTCCAAGTTGGCACTCGTGAGCTGCAAAATAATACAAAGTTTTAAAGATACCTTGCGACTTCATTTACTATTGTTGTTATTATATGTATATAACTTGATCTCTGTTGCACTCGTACCTATTACTTGAGATAGTGAAGGATACTATAAAGCAATAAAAAATGTACAGCAGTGCAGTTGCTATTGCACAAGCTACCAGCTGAACGTACAATAAGTATTTGCACGATCAGTCGTGAAATTGTGCAATGGAATTTTCATGATATATTTACAATAATGAATAAATTGTTGTCTAAATCATTGCTGTATCTTCATATTTATACATCTTTATGTTAGTCAAATTTCAATAAATTATTTGGATCTATAATTCCATGTTAGAGAAATATTTCTCTAAACATATGATTTTATATTTTTCAACAAGAAAGCATGTGTCTCAGAATCTAATCTTTTTCTTTTGTAAAAGAAACAGATACATACCTGTGAATACTTTCCATCAACGATATCCTTCTGTCTGTTGAGGAACCAATCAGGAATTTTGTATTGCCTAGGATTGGCCATAATAGTGACAATTTTCTCGACCTAAAAGCAATTTTTATATACATCAGTATTATTAAATTGTTCTACAAATGTAAAACTTACTTCCTCTTCCGAGCACTCTCCAGCTCGCTTATCCAAGTCAATGTCCGCTTTTTTCAAGACGATATTGGCATAACGTCGACCAACACCCTTGATTGCGGTCATAGCGAACATGACTTTCCTGTTACCGTCAATGTTCGTGCCCATGACACGAAGAATGTGTTGAAACTTTTCAGGAATCACGAGCGACTGGAAGACAGAAGCATGCCATCATGGTCATGTATACAAACGAAATTAACCTTAAACACGACGCGCAACAATTATCGAACAGTTCAACGAACTTTTTCTTGGCATGTGACTGCTGAATAGAAATCGAATCTTTAGAATCACCACAAAAAAGCACGTTCGATCGACAAAAAAGATGAAGCCATGAAATAAATTCGCGATACATCTAACCTCAAAACGTCGGCTAATTTTTTCGCGATAGTTAAAATATTTCAGAGACAGATTCGGAAACGACAAATTTATCCTTCTGTTCGAGTGTTTGACGTGTATCACGCAAGATTTCTCCGAGAAACATGGATTTCAGAAAGAATTCTTGTAAAACTCACCATCTTGGCGCAAAGCTTGACACCGAAAAACGGAAATGGGAATTTCAAGGGACGGACATGGAGTAATGGAAACGATGGGGATTTTGGGGATTCATGAAACCGGAAGTGACCGCTCAGCTAGGACGGGCTCGGAACTTCCGTATCGATAGAGAGAAACTGTGTTATCGAGAGACATTTATATATATTTTATAAATATAATTATGATGTATCTAGGGTCGGTAATCTTGGTATCTCGTATAGAGCGATTAGCAGAATTTATCGTTTTTGGCTCATAAGTTATTAAGTTAAACAAAGATGTCACCACCGACGTTAGAAGTATCAGTCAGTAGGTATAGTTCGCTTTAAAATTTCAAGTTCCTTTTGTTTTTAAATTTCAAGATTTGTTTCTTTTTTTCTTAAAAACGCTAATACAGTCCTCTGATTGGCTCACGAGATCTTAAGCACTAGCTACAAATCATCTTGAAGCTTTGAGCGATCTATGGATCCGTACTTATATGTTGCATGTATTTTTTGTTATACTTTGCATGTATCAAATACTGAAGAAGAAATTGTCTCATGTGTGAGTCGCACTTTTATTTTAATATTTTATAAAACTATAATTCATAATAAACTCCTTTAGCTTTGAATAACATATTTGAGATCATTGCAGTAAATAAAATAATAACATTTACAAAAATAAACAATTCTTACTAATATATCTATAAAATAAAATTTTATAATATTAGATATATAGATACATATATGTACATTTAATATTATATACAATATTATATATCTTGAGATGAGAGATCAATTTATAGTAGTATGTGTATAGTGATATGTATCGATATAAATCGTATATGTACGTAAATCACATTTAATCGATCAACAGCTATTTTGTCGGAGTTTAGTTTGGCCATTACACCAACTAATATATTCTACTTTTAACGTAATAAATGCTTCGAAGCATTTGATTGATCAGAAAAAAGAAGAGCGAGTCTTTTAATACATCGATTGATCAATCGATGAATTAATAATTAAAAAACTCATTCTTATAATTTAGCTAATTAACCAATCGATGAATGTATTAAAATAGTTGTTTTTCCTCTCTAATAAACTGTATATAGGTATAATTTCACGAGTCGCTTCAGCGACAAAAAGGAAATTGACAAATAGGATGAGTTTTTTTTAATTCGTCGGTTCATCAATTGCATTATGTGCAAATGCAACTTTTACGGAACAAAATTACATTTGCAAACAACATATACGATTGATCAATCGATGAATTAAAAAACTTGCCCAATCATGCGTCAATTTTTTGACCACGTGATCTTTTTTGTCGCTGAAACAACTAGTTTGCGAGCAACTTGTGTGAAAATGCTCTTTATACCATCATTCTGGTCTGAGAGGTATGGTATGTACAAAAAATTGACTAAACCTTTGCAATGGGAGAATAGGAGGAGAGAAAAGACAGAGTTCTGCCTTCTTCTGTGCGGTCATAAAGCGGAGAGAATGTCGTCTTTAAAATGGCGTGACAGACCCGTGATGTCTTTCAATGTCCAATGGCGATGACGCAAACGAGAGGAAAAAAAATCCCAAGAATATTAGAAAAAGAGTTAACGTGCTTTCTGAATAATGAAACATTTCTCACTAAGATCAGGCATTTACTGCCGTGTCGATCACAAATCTAGACCACGTACATTTTACGACATTCTCTTCGAGGAAAATTTTACTCTATGTAATATAATATATTGTACGTTACGTGTGAGTACTATACATTTCGTAAAATTTTCCTTAGAGAAGATGTTTTGGAATGTATAGCCAGGGAATGGAAGTAACTCGTTACTTGTAACGAAGTTACAGTTACAAGTTACTTTTTTGGTAACTTTACTGGTAACTGCGTTACTTTCTTTTTTTGGTAACTGTAACGGTAACGAGTTACATTTTTTGGGTAACGGTAACGAAATTTATAGTTACTTTTGTCGTTACTTTGCACACGATTGAACACGGTTCGATTGGATACATGCTATTTAGCGCTTATCAATATGACTTGAAAGCCCTTAGACATTCGGCCGTTATGATTCAGTAATTATTTTACACTTCTATCTTCTATGTAATACATAGGACATACAAATATTTCAGTTTGCTGCATATTTTACAGGTTTTAGAATTACAAAATTGTGTTTAAAAAAAATTAAAAAATAAATTAAATAATAGTAAAATGAGAAGGGCTATGAACCCAAAAGCGAAACAGTTTAAAAGACGATGACAATAAGTGTCGAAACGTCGTTTGTTTTTATCTTGTTTTATCTATGTATTGTTCTAATATATATTTATACATTTAATTACATTGTCATCGTCGTTCTTATCGGAAATAAACTGTTTCATTTTTGGCTCGTAACCCTTCTCATTTTACTTTTATTTAATTTATTATTTGAGCCATTCTACATTGTTTTTTTTTTTTTTAAAAAAAACTATATATTTGTCGCAGTATTACATATAAAAAAAAAAAATGCAAAAGTACATTTTTAAATTGATTTTAAAAAAGTAACGGAAAAGTAACGAAAAGTTATTTTTCAAGTAACGGTAACTGTAACGAGTTACTTTTAAAAAGCGATAACTGTAACTGTAACTAGTTACATTTTTTACTCGGTAACGAGTAACTGTAACTAGTTATTTTTAAAAAGTAACTTTCCATTCCCTGTGTATAGCTATAGCGAATATGTCCATATTAATGTCGACGAGCGTCTTTAGTAAAGATACTGCAGTGTAATTAATACAGTGAATCATTACATCTTTATTGCTGTTTATCAATGTTAAACAAAGATTAAATGATTCACTGTGTTACACTACAATGTGTCTTTGTTAAAAACACCCCCCGAATTATGTCGACTATCTAATAAATTGATACGTAATATTTTTTTATGGCAAACAATTAAGTTATTATAATTAATATAATTATTAGGTATAATATCTTGTCCGTTTACGTGATAAAGTCTTTCTTTCTTTTTTTCCAAAATTATATTTAACATGCTAGTTTGCCTATTCGGATCGAAGTCGTAAATCGCAAAAGATACGTATTGCATATAGATATATGTATATAATATCGCATTTCGTCTTTCATTTCGAAAGAATTCTCCTCGAGCAGAAATACAAAAAGAAAAACCGCCCTAGCAGACACAGCAAGTAGTACCAAGATGATATCACAATATGATCATTTTACAGGTCAACCATTTCCGATTTATTTTAATACGTTATCATGATTTACTGTTCTACTTGGGCAAAGTTGAAACAAACGAATCTACGATTGGATATGTCGTTTTTTGATAAGTCAAATCAAAGAATGAAGAATGAAGGAAGATGCATTTACATATATCTGTCCTTACGCATCTGTCCTACAGGTATTGTAGACATGGTGCAAAAATTCCACGCAGGAATCTAATATTAACAGCCAGCGCGATTCTACGGATCCGCCAACGAGGTTGCCGGTGCGAAATGAAATTTGTCTCGGTGTGTTGTCGATGGAGTTTCGATAACTCGATAAAAATCCGGCGAGCGGAAAAGCAATCGTTTCGCCACGCAATACTCTCTCTCTCCCTCGCTCTTTGCTCCTCTTTCTCTTTCCCTGCACCCTTTCCCCGTCTCTTGATCTCTCCCTCGCTCGTTTCCCCTTCTAATCTTGACTGCAAGGGTCAAAGGTTAGTCGGTCGGGCGAAGGTAGGAGAGGTAGCAAGGTGGCGGATCGAGGAAGTGGAGAAACGAGTCGAAACGAGCGTTCGGAGAGTGAGTCGCATTGGGTGGGAGACAGTATAGGGATGTTCGCCAAGTTCCCGTGCATGATCCCTCTTTGATCCGTTTTACTACGGTCGTTCCCTCGGATTAAGCCGGAATAAGAAAGAATTCGCGAGTTCCGTTCTAACATATAATTTATCCGGTCTCACCGCGTGCGGCACGTCTCGTGTCGATTTTAAAGCAAAATGGAGAATCTCGCCGCAGAAGGAATCGCGCGGTGCACTCACTCGCAGAGAAAAGTTTCTTCGGTTTAAACAAATTTGTTTGAATCGATAAGAAAATTTATTTTTATTTTTCTCAAAAGTATTTTTACTGCAACTTAACAAATCAACGATTTAAAAAAAAAAAAAAGAAACAATTGGTTCAATTTAAACATTACTTCTCTCTGGGCGCTGAACAATATCACTTCGAGATCGAGATATCGCCCATTCACAACGCTTCTGCCATGATTTTCCATTAGTCGGCGATCGGAGAGACCGCGCGTTCGAATATTTAGAGTTTCAGGAATTCAGTTCTCACCCGGACGCTATTCGCGCGGTCGTAGCGAAGACAATCCGCGTTGATTAAAACAGGAGATAGGTACGCGACGAACGGGGTCGCGCCTCGCGGTCCGTGTCGCTCGCGATAAATTTGCCGCGAAATTCATAAAGCATCGTTAACGTCGCTTTCGGCGGACGCGAATATGCACGACGAAAATGGTTCGTGTTTCTCTCTCTCCCTCTTTTTTTTTTTTTTTTAAAGGAGTATCCTTTCGGGACCGTGAAAAAAAAAGGGAGAGAACGTGGCATCGAAGGGATGGGCGATACGCGAGAGGCTTAAAGTGCCGAAATGATTAATCACCCGGCGAAGGATTCTGCATTACGTGGGACGGTTACATCGTGTCATCGACGGCCCCCGATGTCGCTCATTGTCAGATTATGATAGAGATTTGCAGCCTCGACTGACATATGCTCTGGACCTTTTTGCGCTTGGAAGATGAGTAATACACCTGCATAATAATAATTTGTTTAAAAAGAAATTTTAAATACTCAACTTAATTGAAAGAAATAAATTAAAGGATATCTTAACTTATCTCATATAATTCCAAGACTTATCTTGGTACAAGAAATTATCTCTTTTTTATAAAGATGTAAGCAAACAATGTTTGCTCGAAATAATAGTATCTAGTACTCTCCTGGAAAGAGGAGGATTTCTCTTATTTATAGAAAGATGTGTGTGTGTGTGTGTGTGTGTGTGAGAGAGAGAGAGAGAGAGAGAGGAATATATTGATGATATTAAGATGACTCCTAAATGTTT